CCGGAGAAATCACTATTATAGAAGTAGTAACATCCTCTGTTGGCATATTAATCGGTTCATCCAATTTAATTTTCTCGAATGTTTTGGGCATGAAACGTGTGGCAGCGAAGTTTGTTCCGAAATTACTAAATTTTGAGCAAAAGCATTGTCGCATTAATATCACTCAGGAGTTGTTGAGTGGCCAAAAACAAAACCGTAATCATGCCTCAACCACCGTATTCATCAGATTTGGCTCCATGCGACTTCTTCCTGTTCCCAAAACTGAAGAAACCAATGAAAAGAAAACGTTGTGCCACAACTGATCAAGTCAGAATCGAAAAGCTGATGGCCATACCGAAAAGCGCATTTCAGAAGTGCTTCGAGGATTGGAAAAAGCGTTGTCACAAGTATATTATAAATGACAAAATAGATATTAATGAATAAATAAGTATTTTTAGAAAAAATTCATACATCCCCCTAGTTACATGTTGCCCAACAGGATGTCACCCGGACATAGGTGCGCTACTTCGTGGTAAAACTCTTTGGTACTAGGCGGTGGTCTGATAAATAGCATCACCTATGCTAAGCCTCGCATCAGCCCATAATTATCTCGATCGAGAAACCTCCCGACTTTATTTCTGTGGACATCATCCCGGCTGGAAGAATCGCGAAGCTCCGCCGCAATTTTCAAGCCGAAGCAGCTGTTTTAGCTAAGGAGCGCGACCCCTTACGTCATGCCGATCCATGAAATTGGAAATTCGGCAAATAATTAACCAGCATAAGTTCACAAAATGGGTAGAGCACCTGAAGTATTGTAACCTCTCCACCGCTGTGAGTAAGCTTTGGACTACTGTCAAGGTCTTGTCAAATCCGAAAAGGCTTTCCGACCAGGTAGCAATCCAATTCGATGCCATGCCTCCTCGAATCCTAAAAAGTGTGCGAGCTGTTTTAGCCGACAGTTCCCATTGCACCCTTTGACAGACAAGGCCAAACGATGTGTTACCCGGCGGCTGCGCAAAATGCCAAAAGAATGCGCGCCACTTACATTCCCCGATGGGTAGGGTTGCAGTGTCATCAACAAAGCAAAATCATCACAGTCCATTGACTCAGATGGAATATACATGCTGATACTAAAGCACCTAGGCTCGACGGGAGTAAGCTTTCTAACTAGGGTCCTCAACCTGTAGCTGACCACTCTTCAAATACCCGATGAGTGGAAAGTTGGAAGAGTGGGCCCACTACTCAAACCTGGGAAACCCGCCAACAATGGAGAATTTTATCGTTCGATAACTGTCCTTTTCCCAGTAGTGAAGACACTTGAGGCCTTGCTACTCTCGACGTTCACTCACCACCTGAGTCTATCAGACCACCAGCATAGCTTCCGTTACATGCACAGTACCACCACGTCATAAACACTCAGATAGTTCATGGCCTAAACCAAAGGCCACCCTATGAGAGGACGATCCTCGTAGCGTTGTGCGGTTGATTGCGTCAAAAAGGTGGCCTAAGAACTACCTAAACGGACGACAATCATTCGTACTGTTTTGAAATCAAAACTCTAAACTAAGAAGAAATAAACGAAGGGCCCCGCAGGGTGGTATCGTTTTCCCGATACTATTTAATTAAGAGTGATTTTCCATCACCTCGTACGCTGATGATTGCGCGATATTGACGTCGTGCAATGGAATGTTCAAAAATAAACGGCAATCTCCTGTTTCAATTAGCAAAACAGCTTTCCGCCGATTACACAACTGAAAAAGAGAAACATTCATCACAAAAGGAAAACCCACAAGTATCAACTGCAACATCTTCAAATACAACAGATTCTACCAAACTAAAAATTTGTCACAACAACAAAAGAAATAATATTTGTCAAATATGTAAAAAGTATGTTTGCGGAAGATGTACATCCAAAAAGATTTGCATTTTCATTTGCTCAATATTTCCAGATAATGTATAAATTATTTTTTTCCGAACTGAAATACGTTTTCTTTATTGTTATACTTTTTAATAACTTGTTATATGACTGTACGTGATATAAAATATATTAAAAATTACTGTTAAACAAATTTATTTGCGCATTATATTATTTTTTACAATGAAGTCATTTTGACTACTTTCAGACAATATAGGTATATACTAAGCTCATGTCTTTCTAGTGTTAATTTTTTAATACATCTTTACACTAACGTTGCATAGAGTCTATTAGATCCTTACAACGCTTCATAGGGATTTGAGCCTATGCTTCCTTGACCACTGGCCAAAGTTGTGTGATGGATTTTCTGTTGTTTCAACTCGTTTAATATCTCCCCATAAATTTTCGTTTGGATTAAGCTCCACTGCTTGCGCTGGCCAGGATACTACATCGATCCTTTCTGATGTAAACCACTCCTTGGCTAGTTTAATAGTATGTTTTGGGTCGTTACCCTGCTCAAACGATCTTTTTATAGACATTTTCCAGCTAGAAAATGGTAACATAACATCTTTCTGTAGGTTTACCTACACCGTTAGGTCCATGATGCCATAGATAGGACTCTTATTGCGTAAGGGTTAAGTAAAACTCACCGCATAACTATTATTGTGTTAACAATAAATAACTGTTATAAAATAACTCTTATCAAAAAACAATTATTTTGTGAAGAAAAAATTTAAATTGAAAAAAAATTATTAAAATTGATTTTTTGCCCATTTCCTCATAACTGTTACGGTCCCTGGTTCCAACAGCTTCTCTCAAAATATTATAGCTGCACACTAGGCTGATTCAAAAAAAATATTTTTTTTTTTTTCGAAATCCTCACGTAAAAACTTTCGTGGAGATGTAAAAAGACGCCTGTGAAAATCAGAGCCCTTAATATTAATATTAGGAGGTCGCGCATCGCAGATTTCTATTTCCCATTTAAATAACACAGAAAAAATTTTTCTTTAATTTTGGAATTTCGAAACATTCCTTTGACATACTAAATCAAAGTTTTTAATTACCTATAATAATTATAAAAAAAAAAAGATAAAATGTTTACTTACGGGCTCAACATCGCTGCAGAGAAGTACTCAAAATTTTCCGACATTATATCTGTACCCTTTCACGTAACAAAATATAAAATTATTTCGTGAATACACTTTATTGCAACATGAAAGCAACTGACAGCGGTTTTGACAAATTATTGCAGCTATTGCTTATGAGAGCATTTTTACCGTTCTTTTTCAAAGAAGCGATGTAATTTATTTGATAGTCGAAAATAGTAACTAATAAGTTTATTTACGATATCATAAAATCTCAGATGTACAGCTTCTTGATTTCCGTGAGAAATATTAAATTAAAGTTGGTATAGGTCTGGCCAGAACCATAAGGGTTAAATACTCTTACTTTTCGCAACTATCTAATCATTTTTTAATTTATCGACCCCTAACGACAATCACTACTATTTTAATGAACAGCTTGATTTTTTTTTTGAAAATACGAAAATATCTTTAAATATAAGGCCCTGTTGCACTACTAATTACATGAACACGACTGTTTGTTATGTTTTGCAAATAATTAATTGGGCAGGTTGTCGTATCAATCGTTTTACAGGTCTAAAAGAATGCCAAGGATCGTGGTGATGCTCATTAGAATCGCCTAAAATAAATTGGGTTAGTACATCATGATTTCGTCTGATATACGAAACAAATTAAGCGATTAAAGTTAACGCGTGGTTCCTGAATGAATGATGAAGATAAGTTTGATCTGACTGGGGGATAGCTGCTTCATTGTTGAGGCCACTCACGGAGAGTGTTGGCGCTGTGCACAAGTTAAATACATTGTGCACTGCAGTAGAGACTTAGGAGCGGTTCGTTGCCTGAACAGGTCTTGTGATACTCAATCCAAAGCATGCAGTAACATATAACATTAAAAGTGCAGTAACAAAATAATTGTATTAACATTAAAAAAAAAATATTTTGTAGTCCCAAATACATGATAAAAAAATGTGGAAAACGGTTGGCCTCAAGGGCCATCCCTGCAACTTCCCTCTAATTTCATACGCTAACGTTCAAATTTCGCTTTTTTCACTGCTTTTGAGCTCTTCGAAATTTTTCGTTTTCGATATCTAGCAAGTAAATCAACCGATTTCGACCCGGTTTGCGGCAAACGATGTGTTTCTTCAAGGTTTAGAACTGATTAGTTTTTGGTGTCGATCGGTCAAGTCGTTTGGAAAAAATTTATTTTTGAGATTTCTCGAAATCTACTGGTCTGATTGGGTCCAAACTTACACGAAATTCAAGTGCAATGAAACCCTTTGGAATGCCGTTTAGTTTATTCAAATCGGTTGAGCAGTTTAATAGTTATAAGAGGGTCACATACATCCACACACACACACATACATCCACACATACATACAGACATACGGACATCATCGTAGAAATGTTCGGGGAAGCTTCCTCGACCCTCAGAACGTCGAGATCTGTTGAGAACTCGATTTTTGCAAAATGGGGTGAAACCAATATCTTCCCGATTTTTAGAAAATTTTCCATTTTCTTAGCGGGAAGTTAAAAAATAAAAATAATGTTAATCCCAAGTTTACAAGAATTTACATTTTTTCTTGTTTGCGTACTTCGTGTTCACCATTTTGAACTAGAGCTTCCACAGAGCCATAATTTTTAATTCTCTAAAGATAGTGGTTGGATTATATTTTATATATATTTTAAATCTGATTTTGAAATTCTAAATTTTTAGTGCTAAAATTTTTAAACCTAATTTTTAGCTCAACTTTTTTAAATTTAAAAACTCGCAGTCCTGCATCTAACCGAGTGGGAATTTGCCACTTCCAATATATTTTGGTTTAATGAAAACAATATAATTAACTACTACAATATTTACATTTTATAATTTCTGTAAATTCCGAAATTATATAGTGGCACACATTTAATTCATTACGGTTAGTATATGTGATTTAATTGCTTATATATTTTCATATCTTATTGCAATAAAGTTGCATATTTCTCACTTTTTCTAAGAAACTCTAATTAAGCTCATAAAAACTTACCCGTCCTGGTTGTTATGGAAGGCTAGAACAATCGATGGACTCGAATAAGCGTTGCTTGTAACCCATGTACAATGTACTGCAAACATCATCAATATCATTAAAATAGCAAGAATAATAACGCTTTTCAAATTGGAACCGATTCCGCTTCGGGTCTCATGTACAGAATCATGTTTCGGACGAAATTTAACTTTTCCAGCCTAAAAATAATAATATGTATAATATATAATAATAAAATGTTTTATTCAATGTTCGAACTTTAATAAACAATGAGTAAACCTTTATAGTCTATATGCAAATTAGAAATAAAATCAATATGTAGCTATGTTAACTTAATGATTTATTCGTTAGTTTGCCGTTATTTCATAAAAAAAAATATTTATGTTAAGCTGCTTTCATGTTTAAATTCTTTGATATGTATAAAAAATGTTTGTCTGTATATACTCGTATTCATTTTACTCATAAAACAAATAAAGAGGCTAAGCAAATATTTCAAAATACTTCTTTTACCACAAACTTACATTTAGTAAAAAGGACCACAGTGAACAGGGGCATCTGTAGTTTAAAAAGTTTCGCCCTAAAATAAAAAGTCGAAACTATGAAAACAATATCAACGAAATTCGCTACGCGAAAAGTTTGTCTGGCGATTTTTACCATGGTAAAAATATTAACTACAAGTATGTGTTTGCATTGACAAAGCATTTAGTGAAAGTCGTTCAGTCATCAAAAACTTGACTATGCGAGTCTTTTATCCACCTCTGTTAAAGACGATAACATCGTAAAAGTTTAAGAAACAGTGCTTGAAAGTCGTCTTGTTGGCATCAGAGAGATACGACCTCAACATCTCTTATGATCGACTCAACAGATTTTGGTCAGTTTTGGGTATGAAGCGTGTCAATGCTACCATAGACTCGTACAATAGACCTGGTTCTTTTGCAAAAACGACGTTTAGTAGATGTCGCAAAAGTTATGCTTGTTAACATATCTGAAAACCTTAATCAAACTCATCATTGTTGGTAATGAGACTTGGGTTTATGAATATGACGTCGACACTGTTCAACAATTTAGCGAATTGCTTTGCAAAAAATTCATGGATGTCTTAATACAATAGTCATCCGTTACTCCAGCATGTTTGTGACTGACTTTTTGGACAAACACGAATCGATAGTCATCGCTCAGCCAAGTATTTACCAGATTTGGCTCCCTGTGACTTTTCTCTGTTTACGAGACTGAAAAATCCGCTTTGGGCAACGCGCCATGAATCAATTTAAGCTATTAAAAATCATTCACTGATGGTACTGAAAGCCATCTCAGCCGAGGCTTATACCGACTATAAGGTAAGTTAGAATAAGCATTGGCATGCTTATATTGGCTCAAAGAGAGCCCATTTTTCCATTGTTAAGGCGATACTAAAGATTTATATTTAAACGTGAAAATGTTTGTTTTTTATCAGTCCGGGTCAAATTTGAACAGAAGGTATGATGCGTAGAAACATAAAACTACTTTGCATTAGGAAACTGTTAAGAATAACATATTGTACAGGGTAGAACCTCTCTTCTAAGCGTACTTTTGCTTCGCATATTTATGTACACCGCTATCGTACGCTATATTACTGAATAAATACACAATCGAGAACGTCAATTGCAATGCAAATTAGCAAAGTATAATCTGTACAGCATCCGTAATATTTCTGATATTAATCATGAAATATCCATGAATTGGAGAAAGGCGTACGCAGAGCTGTTAAGAAGAGTCCACATGGAACCAAATAAAAAAAAATCATAATTCATTATTTACATACAATTTTCAGCTTTGATGGATTTATGGTTAGCAATGACTTAGTAAAAGGCAGGAGAGTGAAAAGTAAAGGCATATAATTAATTAATTCCGAATTCTTTGTTAGAACTTGTTAAGACGATAAAAATGTTTAGCTGTGAATGTCAAATTACCGGTAAGATGGTTGTCACTGTTCTTGAAGAAAAAGTTAATGGCTTTTGACATATACATATGTAACAATTTCGGAATCAGTTTTTATTAATTAATAATAAATATAAATTAATTTCAGTGATTAGAGCAAATAATGTACTTATGAGGGAAAATTTTTAAACATTTTCCTATATAGCTTATGCTTCTATATGTTATTTTTAATTATACTATTAACCTTAAATTTATCCTTTTTATCTTTATCGACAAATAAAACAGCTTATATCGCAGAAAAACTTTGCAGTAAAAGTGTGTGCCCTATAGCGTCAAGTTATTCAACGCATCATTTTGCAACGTCGTTTGATGTACATATGTATCATACCGATGATGTATAAATAATGTACAAAAGTTACGTAGTTATGACTATTTTTATATTGTTTTATGAACGAGTTACATCGGATTACAAAACTTTAAAGCGTTTTCTCCACAACTGATGTTTTCAAAGTCGGTGACGCTCATAACTTCAAAACTACTGAACCGATCGTTTTGAAATTTTGAAGGCTATTTCTGTATCTACATAATTTCTATGGTAACACAGCAGTTATTTTCAAACTTGTTAATAATTTTTATTTTACAATAACAAAGTCGTCGATTTTTTCGCAGAAAAATCACGTTTTTTCCTTCATAATGTTCCACAAAAATTAAAGTTTTAGATTTCGAAATTTCGTTACCTGGGAAAAGCTACTATCTAACGAATGAAACTCGAAGTTTTGATTTCGGATAATCCAGCGTCCAGTTATGAGAAACACCGCAATCTATTGTTTTTCGGAGACTCTCCAGAGTAATTGCCGCCTTTGCTCTATTTATTAATATTTCTCCATAAAAATTTTACACAATATTCTTCAAATCACTTAGTCTTGTTGACAATAGGTTTTTTCACGCTATTCTTGAATCTTGAACCAGTCCTGCGTACTGTTTTTGCATTAATATTTTTCCCAGTTTCTTCACGTGCTTCTGCTGCCATCTGCGTAGAGGTAATTTTAAGCTTCCTTTTAATTTTTCTTACAATTTGACGTTAGTCAGCGGTGGTCAACGTGCCAGTATGAGCACGACTTTGCAAGTTTTCTTCTCCTTCTAAGCGGTTTATTATACTGTAAAGAGTATATCTGCTTCTCTTTACAATTTTACCAATTTCGGAACTTGATTTATTTTGTTTATGTTAATTAAAATTTTTTTTTTCTTTTGTCTGCTGTAGTTTTACAGTTTAGTCTTTTAGTTTAGACCCATTCTGAATATTGACATCGCACTTGCACAAATAACAATATCGAATGCGAAATTATAAATTTCGAGTGAAGTATTCATTGCGGTACTTTTCCAAATGCTTCCGTTACTGATATTTGTAAAAATTTTAATTTAAATGGCATGACTTTGAGTTATATGAATAATTTTGTTCCTCCCATAAATGAAGTAATATGTACTTTTGTAGATTTATTTAAAATGGAAAATTAATTAGTTAAATTATTGTTATTTTCAAACACCTAAGTTATGAACAAAGATTTCCTTATAATAAACCTAATAGCTGGTTTTTATTATTTCAAAGATACATTAGTTTTTATGGTAAACTGATTGATGTGTGAATAGTTGTGTCCGCCTCTGTAAATATTATTCAAACCAGAATATGGCGTAAACCTTAAATGCAAAACAACGTCACATCAAAAAATTCGAAATTGATTTTTTTTATTCATTACGAATAACTACATCATGGCTGACTTCGAAAACGTTAATTGCAATGTACAATATAAGAACAATGTATAATGTTCTGTAATGCATAAATATTTTTGATATTGCATCATGTTTTGAAACGCATTAACCCGGCATTCGATGCGCAGTGACAGAGAAAATCACACATCACAAATAAAGTTTATGCCTTTGGAAATTTTCCTATGCAACGATGGCGGAGTCAGATTGTAAAGCTTGTTATTAGTTGTTTTATTAATTTATACCAGATTTTCATTAAATTCATATTTCAACGTTCATAGAAAACAAGGTTACGACAATTTTGAAATAATATGGTTGATAATGAAGTTGGTAGTTTGAAAAAATCCCCGCTAAAGCATTGACGAGGATACCGACAGGTAATAGATACCACAGTTTCACGACGTAGGCAGGGACGAGCTGGCAGTAGTTCGCCCCTGTTGCAGTAATGAGGTAACTAGCTAAGGTCAGGCTTCCTACCAATGTGTTCGTTGCTCCTCAATAGCACAGCATCCAGATAGAAAGTCTTACTATGGTTGGAGGTACATTAAGGGCTGGATACCCGGGGGCCTCCGCAATAAAATAGCCTTACTTGAGTAGTAGATAATGGACACACTATTCCCTACAAAATATGAACCGATTGAATACGAATAAAAAAACGCCGGAGGGAGCGAGTTGTTCCCAGAAGAGAGCAGCGTATGGTACGAGCGCGACAATAGTCGGGGCGAGGGCAGGAGCGAAGCTTGATTCTGAAGCAAAGGCACTAGCAACAGCACCGGAAGCAGCGCATACCAAACGCTGTAGGCAAGGCTTGGTTACTAAGCAGGGGAAGGGAGATGCCATAAGTGCTGCAGATAGTAGTGCGTCAGCCAGAGAATGGCCTGTTTTTCCAATAACACGTAGTAGGGAAAGAATTAGGCGCCCTGGTGGTCTCCCATATTTAAGAACTTGCAAAAAGATTGCCGGAGGCAATTCAATTTAAACAAGCTATCCCAAGGAGAAAAAAAGTGGGATAACTATTATAACCGCTTAATGTCATATAAAAAAGAGGTAAGGAAGGCAAAACGAAATTCAGGGAAATCCTTTTGTTAAGATATCGATAATACGGCAGAAGCGTCTCCACTTAGAAAAATAATGGCACAGTCAGTACATAACATCGGATATCTTTAGAAGCCAAACCACAGCTGAACGGTATCCAGTGAAAAGTCTCTAGGTCTGCTAATGGATACTCACTTCCCAGACAGTTCCAAAATCACATAATAGAGCATCCACTGGGCAGTGAAGGGGAAGCAGACTCCCCTCCTGTAGACATAGTGTCAGATAGTAATGTTTATAGGGCGATAGGCAGCTTCAAGCCCTATAAATCGCCGGGACCAGACGCGATATTCCCGGCTCAGTAATAGCAGTCCCAGAACTACATTAAAAGCTGGTTAGCAACCATGCTTAAAGGGACACTGCAATTAAACTATATTCCCTCGATATGGAGAAAAGCCAAGGTAATATATACAATATACACACTAATCCAAAGGATTTCACACCAATTAGTCTTTCCTCATTTCTCTTAGAAACGTTTGAAAGGCCAATAGAAATACACTAAGAAGAGGAAAAAAAACTCAAAAAAAATGTCAGTTTCGCAGCATGCGTATTCATAGTACTCCAGAAATCACGTTGCCATTATTCAGTGGTACCAGGCTTTCGAACAGGAAGTTTTTTTAGAAGCTAGGGTAAAGAAAGCAGCTACAACACTTTACACGTGTAAAATAATGGTGGGGCCCAGATGGGGATTAACGCCTTGGGTAGCTCACTGGCTCTACACAGGAATTGTAAGGCCAATTATGACTTACGGTATATTGGTATAGTGGCCAATAACGTAAGAGAAGTACGCGGTTAGACATATAGAAAGCATACAAATATCAGCCAGTATTTACATTAGTGAAGCTCTCAGAACAACCCCAAGCCAGGCGCTAAACATAATTTTACACGTTCTGCCAACAGAATTGTTTAGGAATCAAATGGCGGCGAAGACAGCTCTTAAACTGCATCCTCCCTACTAGCCGCCAGTAACAAGAGCCATTCTATAATACTTAGGAAGTTCCCGTTTTTTCCCATAACCACGGATTTCCGTAATCCTACAGAGCTTCATCTAAACCCGGTCCCCAATATTGCCTTCAGAGAAGAGTGGGAAAGGGGCGAAGTAGATAGGGAGGCAGGGATAAGCATATATACGGACAGTTCCGAACTAGATAATCGTCTTACTCCTGTGGAGCCTACTTGTTTTAGCATCAACATGTTTGTGTCGTCTGGGCCAAAGGATTTCGCCTTGCTGATAATCGTTGGGTGACACGTATTTTGACCTTGTCAGTTGAAAGATGTAGTGTTCACTGCTGCCTAAACTAGCTCGCGTACATCTTCGGGTCCAAGGAGGCATGTCCATCGAATTGAATTTCAGTCCGATCGTCATGTTGCTTCGGATTGGACAAGGCATTGACAGTAGTCCTGAGCTTATTCACACCGGTAGAGGGGTGACAAGACTTCAAGTGCTCCACCCGCTTATGTGAATCTACCAGTTGTCGAATATCCAAATTGAGATCCTTTATGTAGGGATCACAGGGATCGACTTGGCAGAAGGTGTCCCTTTCATTTACTAAAACTACGACTGAGATTTAGAATAGCATCCCCCGAACTCGGTTAAAATGGGTATGTACGGATAGAGGAAATTCTCTAGATTTAGAACATATATATAGTTGCCGCTGACTTATGGTTTTTTGGATAATTGCTGGATATACCATCGTCTCATGTGCCCTACCCAGATGTTAGCAAAGTAATGAAAGTTTATGTTTCCATCTACTTAAATATTAAATTCGAACATTATGTATGTTATATACGGTTTCATTTCTATTCAAATATATTCGTCTCAAGACAGTAGTTAATGGATGTATAAAACTCATTATAAAAGGTAAAGTTATATACTTAAAAAGTAAAATTTATGATTTTTAAATACAACTTTTACAAAAATTATAAGACAGAGGCATCTATTAGTGATGACTCAAAAAACAATAATCCGATCATGAAAATTTTTTCTCCCTGTTCTGTACATAATTCTTTTTAGGGTGTCACACTAGGTGTGCCCTTTAACGAACATTAACCTTTAACAACATCCATATATATTTTTGTAGAAATAGCAGTAAATACTGGCAACACTGCGCATTCCGCACTGCTGATCTAATGCTAGCTGTTGCCAAGGATGACATGATACGAGACTCTTTCATTTTCATATTTTTCTCTCATACTCTTTCCCTGATGAATAAGATTAGGGAATTTTGAACGGCTGATATCAAAAAATTAATCTACCAGGGATAAACGGAAGTTCAAGCAACGACACAAATAATTTTAAGTTACGTGCAAAAGTTTGTTTTGCTATTACTATCCAGTATTTATTTATAATATGAATACGAGTATTTAAGGTTGTATTATATGTGGGACATAGTTCTACTCGGGAACCCAGAATAATAACCTAACCCAAAATAATATCGATATGCAAAATGGCCAACAGTTATTTTCAAAATACCCAATCCATTTTCTTTCAACAGGGGCTTAATTGAATATTTTATAAGGTGTAAAGTTTAGTGCTGGAAAAGATCTTTAATAGGGCACAATGTTACTGATGGAAATAGATTAGTTAAAAATTTAAACGATGAAAGTTTGTTTTAAATGTTCAAAATTTTACATTTGGCGCAGAAGAATTTAAATTTTTTTACAGCATAGAAAATTTCGGTAAATGTTTAGTTTAGGGCCCCAACGAAGGAGGCCTCAAAAATTAATTTTTTTTAAATCATCTTATTTTGACGCGAGGATTACAAATCCGTGAATTTTTTCAATAATTTTTGTATACACATAAAAATGTATTTAACACACTTTTTCAAGTAACTTAGTTGTTTTAATTATTTTGGCGGCAGAATTATTCAGCATTTAGAACACTTAGCTGTAATTACAAGTTAGTTACAATCAACAAGTTAGACATTTTCTAGTGAAAAAAATATTTAAGAAATGTAACAGGCATGATTACGATTTCTTTTGACCCGCGATGTTGTTGTGTTATTGTAACGATTATCAAATCCCCGCTTGGAGGGCCGTGAAACAAGCTGTTTCAACGGGGTCGGACAGTAGGGAAATGGGTGTTAGATGAGTGGGGTTCTTAGGGTATGCAAAGAGGTGGCTAGTGTCATGCGGAAACTCATTACATACAGGATATATATTTGGTATATCAGGGTCGATTCTGGATAAGTAGGAGTTTAACCTGCTACAGTATCCAGAACGAAATTACGCAAGGGTCTTTCTAGATTCAAGTACTACATTTACTGAGAGGGAGTCGGTGAAGGTGTTGATGGCTCCACTGTGAATGGCGGTCAGTGCATGTCTAAAGTTCGTTGCGTCCAAAGACTGGTCGGCATACTGTCCAATGTCGTCGACGTAATCAAGGAAGGACCTCTTGATGTTCCTAGGAGGCGGTTCCGCTTCAAACAGATGACTACAGGAGTGGTTTCTACGAAAACATCTCAGCAGAAACTGCTTAGAAAGGAGCTCGTTATGTTCCCTAACTGGAAGTATACGGGCTTCACTGCGTAGGTGTTAGGCTGGACACATAAAGAGGCATCCCGTGATAGTCCGGAGTGCAGTGTTCTGACATGTCTGAAGCTTCTTCGTCTGCGTTGCACTACATCCAGGCGACCGCATTGGTGCAGCGTAGTTTAGGACCGGCCGGCCGATTGCCTTGTAAGTTGCCAGCAACGTTTCTTTGTTGTAGATTTTGTTGCGCCTCTGTACTTTCGCAGTTATCGCGGTTGTGTGAGGAATGAAGCTGCACAAGCTGTCAAATGTAACACCTAAAATTTAGGGTTGTTGACTGTCGGAATTTTAAAGCCATCGACTGAAATGTTTAGATCGTCTGTACTCCTTTGTCCAGTTTGTAAAAATTGTTGCTGTGGATTTAATGGAGGAGTGTTAGGGCCTCTGCAGAGAAGAAGCGAGAAAGGTCGAAGAGATAGCCGTTTACTTTCGATTACATACCATCGATTCCATTGCCTGACGTAATATCGTGCATTCATCAGCGTACGAGGTTAAGGAAATTCCCTCTGCTAGTTGGGGAGTTACGAGATGTAGATATTAAACAGCAGCGGGGAGAGGACACCGCCTTACAAAAAAAAACCCCTGTTTAATTCTTCTAAGTTTGGAGTTCTACCCAGAAACAGTACGGATGAACCCAACCGCTCAGGTAGCAGGTGGCTTTTGATTTAGACCATGAACTATCTTCGTGTTTATGACGCTAATTGCTGTGGTGGTGCTGTGCACTTTTCGGAAGTCATGCTGACGGGCAGCTAGAATCAGGTGGTGAGTGAATGTCGGGAGTTGCAAGGCCTCAAGTGTGAGAGTTATCGGATGATTTACCATTGCCGATCCTCCAAATTGAGATCACTTATTCGGGGATCAAAGGGATTGGTATGGCGTAAAGTGTCGCGCTCGTTGTCTAATACAGCTGATTTTGCTGGAAAATTAGGGTCAGCCGGTGTGAAGCGAGCAGCAGGAGCGATCACGTTGCAGAAATGACACTTGTATCCCTTACGATCGTTTGAAAGTGCCAAAAATCATGGTGCGGGGTTAAGTCGCATAGCACCACGAAGTAGCGCACTTATGTTCGGGTGATATCCTATTGGGCAACATGTAACTGGGGGGATGTATATATAACCGAGGTGGAGTTTTGCTGGAGCCCTTTTGCGCAAAGGCAGCTGAAGAGTTCCTCGATGCCAGCACGGGTCAGGGGGATACGGAGCAACACTGCTGCTAGGACGACAAACTTAGATTAAAACTTACCATTCCAAACAGGGTTATATCGCCGCGATCTTATGGTATGGACGAATAGAGGCGATTGTCGAACCCTTTTCCGCAATAGTGGCCTTCGGCCGCTCTTCAAAAAAGGACCCTGGTCGATCCAACACAGGGTTAATTATAATTCATTCGCGTCGATCTACTTACTTCACTTACAAAAGAACTATGCACACCCCGGTGTTGCATAGACCAGGAATCTGAATTCCCGGGTTAAAAGAAGTCCACAAGAAGTTCGACGTGACAGAACATGTGCAAAGCGCGTTTATTTTTTTAATTTGTTTGTAACAATTCATATTTCAAAACATTAAAAAATAATCTAACTTCCCTCTCACGAAATCTTTTCGTCAAAATAAGACAACAAAATTATCATTCTTGAGGTCTCCTTCGTTGGGATATTTACTAAAATTTCATCCCAACTCTACACAGAGAAAAATGTTACCATTTGGCCTTACTACTATAACTATAAAATATTTTGCATTAAATACACTTTTTAATAAACTAATTTATTGCATATGTATATATATATTAGTATTTTAGAGTTTCTTACTTTGTCATACAGATTTTTCTTCTCCATTGAATTATCATCTTGATCCTCCACGTACGATGATATACTGTTTTGAGCAAATATATTTGAAGTGTGGTCTTCTTTAAGGAATACTTCAAACAAGTTAGAAAATGCAATACCAGCAAGAATACACACGACTGGAGTAAGAGTTAGCATCAAACGTACCATAACACCCGCAAAATATACAGCACTAATGGCATAGAGTATAACGAAAACACGTTCGTCATTAATATTCTTAATGCAATACCAAATTCCAACTGGAAACGAACAAGCCAGTATATGCAAATCGAAAAAAAAAGAAAACCAAGTGGTCGGTTGATGTTCCGATACGGAGGCAATAATAGGGATATGTATTTTAGCATATCCAGTGTCCCATAATGAGTAAAATCGACCACTCCATGGTGCAATAACACCCGATATTGTAAGTACAACCACACCAGTGAATACGATAAATGCAGCCGTTATGGCTCCAAACAGATATACTTTGCGATATTCACTTCGAGATAATACACTTTGTAAGTGACGAAGGACTGCGATAATAAGCAAAAGTACAAATATTCCAAGAGCAGCCATGTGCTCACTTGTTCGTATAGGTTGAAAACCTACAAACGGTATTTGCATCGATAGTAGTAATCCCAAAATGTAGAATGTCGAATAACTGGTTAGAATCCTCTCAGAGAACCGACCCATTATAAGCAAAACAAATACGTGAAGTGGTATTAAGTTAATAATAAATACATAACCTCCCCATGCGGACACCATGTAAAAATAAGATAAAGCTGCTCCGGCTGACCAAAAAACGGATCCAGTTTTCAAGGAACGTACCCATAAGAAATATGTAAATTGAAGTGCAAAAATAGCAATTCCTTCGTTATCATAAGAGCCTGCTACTGATCGACTTATATAACCAGGGACTATAGCTATAAAACTGGCAGCAAAAAGCCCTGCTCCTTGGGACCATAATTCACTAGTGAGCAAATAGGTTGAAATCGATGTTAATCCACTAAAAACCGGTGCCAAAAAAACGCATATATCACGTATATGGATCGGTATATTCAAAGTGTGTAAAATATAGTGTATACAACCAGATGTTATCATAAGTCCTGGATAAACTGTTCCACCAACAATTCTTCCTAAGGGATACCACGCTCGTTCATCAAACCAATTCAAAAATTTATAAAATCCATGTTCCACCATATACCCAGTCGCTCGGTAATTAAACCATGGATCGAACTCATGAATAATAGATTCAAATCGAATCACTGCAAACAACCGTGAAGAAAAACCGGCAAGCCACGCAATCAAAAGTACGGTGAACGTTATTAAACTTTTGTATCCAACATATCTCCTTGATACACCTCCGGACAAATGATACATTCTTCCAACAAATATAATATTCTATAATAAGGAATGCACAGTTCACCTATTCTAATTAAACATTAAAAAGTACACGTATTCACTCCTTAACACGATATTCTAAATAACTTTTTGATATAGATACAATTTAGCATCGAGGGCTAACTGGACATTTGGACAAGCAATAAATAATGCATAGATAACTATATTGCTGTAATTATTACCATAGGAAACTTAATATTGCTTTAGTTGGGCAATAATTGTCTAAATAATTTAAGGTCATTTACATACAACTTTCCTCGCTTTGTGTGATAATTCATACTAAAACACCGAAGCGCAGAACACATAACGTATGACACAATAACCGCTTTGCCTTCAGTATTTGTCTCTAATAAAAATGGCGACAGTTGTTTGGCAAAGCAGATGCCTAACGTTCCGCGTGGCTTCGGGTTGAAAACTTTTTACGTGAACGTACTCATACAAAAAGCTGAGTATTACAGTTCAATTTTCATTTCTACAAAAAAGTTTAATTGGCAATATGTACATAGTTTTCATCTCCTGACAACAATGTCCGATATTTTCATGTTTCGTTGGGTAAATTGTATTTGGGCAAAAGTATCGACATAACTCCGCTTCTCCATAGGCCATATACATTGCCAACCATATGTTAAATACATTGCCATTCACGTTGGCAATAGTCTTGAGTAGGCATTTTCATCCATAAAAAAATCATTATCGAAATAGGTATGTTCGAGCTGATATAGCGCATGTTTGAGCTGTTGAACCGTTTAAAAATCTTATAAGGATGACAAAAATTTATGCGAACAATGAAAAGGGTAGAAACCTACTTTTTTCTGTATTTATTAGAAAAATAAGATTACATATTTAAAGACTTAAATAGTTGTTGCATAAAGTATATTTACCAATTCAATAACGAAACTTCGCTACTCGAACATTCTGGGAACTACGAATTCGCTATCTAGTTGGTTCTAGCAGAATATTGTCAATTCTGATTTGTGCTGGCATTCGTGTTCGCCACAATACAATGCCCAATAATCTAGGGGCATCTCGATAGGCAATTAAACAAAGTTAAAAGTCTAATTTGCTAACAATATTGCCAATGAAGACTGCATTGTTAATGTTAGCAATTGAAGTCTAAATATATCATTGTATAAATCTACAAGTAACTAATCCTAAGATTTTCACTAATACACACGCAAAAATATCCCACTTGGTACGGGTTGCCTCGAAAATTCTACTACTAAAATCACACTTGGTACGGGCTGCCAACCAATATTCTGTCACTAAAGTCACACTTTGTACGGGTTGCCAACCAATATTCTAGTACTAAAACGTCCAAATGACAGAAATCTGCTCTAGTGTGTTGCCGTGTTATGTTTTAAAATTTATAACTTTAAGAATGTTTTTATTCCATATTCAAATATTTTTGGGTTGTTTTAACTCCTAAAGATTAAATTTACATAGTATTATTTAAATTATCATTTATTATATTGAAATATTATTAAATGTTTTCAATTTTATCAAATATATTATTGTGTAACGGTGATTTAGAATATTTTGTGAATATTATTTATTACTTAGTAGATTGTTTTAATTATTGTTATTGTTCCTGAATTTTACCTCATTTTTTATATTTATTTCTTTTTTGTTCAAATCAAATAATTAATATTCATGAACCTGATTTTATGTACATATCTTTTCGAGTTACACTTGTTATGAAAAGTAGATTGTTTTAGAACTGTATATATTATATGGGTGAATATAGGGAACCGAACACCCAAAAATGATCGGTAACGCACCTATATTGCAAGCTCAGAGGTTGTGAGGAAAAGCAATAAATATATAATAGTCTTTTGTTTCGAAAATATTCTTGAAAGTTTTCATTAATATTCTCCATTACAAATCCATGTTCACAAACAAGCCTTTCATTTACATCTCTGTGTCAAAAAAATGCAGATTCGATCAGGTGATCACGGCTGTTTCACACACATAGGAAAACAGCTGATTCTTTGGCTACTTGTAGGCTTATACAATGTTAACAATCTACTATATAAGGGTTGCCGGACTGTGCAACAGACATAGTTCTAATTAGAGTGTTGCCGTGCAATTGAGCTGTAAGCAATAAGTTGTAAATATTACAATATGTAATAATAATCAGGAATCTCTGATAATATTATTTAAGTTAATTTTTTCTTCGCAGGGAAGCTTAAAAAAAAAACCACAATAAGTTTTAGGTTTTTACCACCTTACTTTATTTATATAAAATAGCAACTGAACAATTAATTATTACAACTACACTATATAGCTGTGTAGTTCAGCTGAGAAATTGGTGCATCCGGTGTTGATAATTCGCTGTCAATATAATGGTTTTGTCAATATAATGGTTGTTAATTTATAGGTTGAAGTTACAAATTAGTAATTATTTGATGTAAATTAATTTTATTATTATAATTATTATATTATTTACCTTATATCCACTAATTTTTTTATATTTTTTTAAAATATGACCTAAAGCCGCCAATGCAGAAATAAGCTCTTCGCGGTAAAGTAATAATGTATTTGTTTCCTGAAATTAGGGTATAATCTGAATTCTTTATTTCTTTTGATTCGTTTGCAAAATTTTGTAACAGATTTCTCGATAAATCGTCTACCTAACTCACTCTTGAGTTCGAGCACTGGATTGTTAAGAAAAGTCCCAATTTATTGGCTATACACTTATTTTTATTTCTAGTTAAAAGAACTTTATACTGCTTATAACTCAATTCCCATTTACATGCAACGGTCCAATCAGAACAGTGTCTGCTGCACAATCTGGCAGCGCTTATATAGTGGATCTTTAACATGATTTCGCCTCTAGAACAGTAACTACGAATTCGCTGTCTAGTTGATTCTGGCGATTAACCGTCGATTCGATTTTGCTCTATCATCCGTGTTCGCCACAATATGTAGATATTTTTTATTGCGTGAATACATAGGGGCGAAGAAAATGTTTAATATTCAATTAAAACCATTTTTGGAATAATTATGTAAAAAGAATTTTATGAAAAGTGCATATTAGAAATTTAAAACTTCATATGAATAAAAAAAAATCTGAACTTGTTGTTTTTATGTATTTTATATACAAATATTTCAAAAACCATAAGTCAGCGGAATTTGAATATAGTCTATATATATATATGGAGAACTTTCGCTGCAGGTCATACCCATTTTAAAACCAAATTCAGGAGATGTTTTAAATTAATTGACGATTATGTAGTCAATAGATTAAAGTATTTATTTCATTTCACACAGCCGGCTACTCAATTAAAGATCAGCTGTTATACACTTTTTTGCTGTTAATAAGAAGTTTAAATTGAATGCGTTTTTTCTTGCGTATAATAATAAAATTTAATTGTTTTAGCTAGTGCAATCTAGGTACTTTCGCGGAGATCTGCAACACGCTCTGCCCACAAATCGCGAATGGCCACTTCTCCGCACTCAGCCCAAGATAGCCTCTTCTTTTTTTTATTTTTGGTGCTAAATAAAGAAGAATTAGACATTAAATTTTCTAATAAACATTTTGCATTGCAATTGTTTGTTTATTTACTGGTCATTCATATTTTTTCCATTTTTTCGTTTGCTTTTTTCTTTCGTATTTTTTCTAATGATCAAAATTCATCAGCAGATTGCTATTATATCAATAAACACAGTAAAATTTACAGAGTGGACAACAACCACTCAGCATTCCAGTTTCAACTTGTATTCGTCTAAGAGTTAATGTAGTAAATTAGGATCTTAATTTTGTATGGTAAATCGATCTAAATTAGGATCGTTTTTAACAGAAGGCAACAGAAATTGGTCTTCTTATAACCAAGAATAAAAACCCTGAGTTTACATTTTTGGGAAGTACTGCTCAAAATATTTGGCAGTATAACTTTTTGCAAAACTCGTAACACGAAACATATAGAAATGGAAACGAATACGTTCATTAGAATAGAAAAAAAGGAGTAATAGGACCACTGCCACGCCCACAAAACACCATTTAACGAAAACTTATAAAATGCCATAACTAAGTACTTAATAAAGGCATGAAAGAGCGCCTTTAGGCAAAATTTTTTAAAAAATGGGCGCCCTCTAAGAGGTTTAATGTACATATTTCCTAATCAGCTAAAGCTATTAGAACCAAAATCACTGAGGACAAATTCCTTAAGCACCCTTGCCGACACTGTAAAAATGGATGAAAATGAATGAAATCGGATGATAACCCCGTTTACTCCCCATCGGTTCGGTTAAAAACGACTGAAAGTGCAAAAAGCACCAGAAACATAAAATTTGCAACCCGAAATCAAAATGTCTGCGAAATCAAAGTAGGAGCCGCTTTTAAATTTTAATGTCGATGGGCGTGGCACCCCCCATATTTAGGTGAAAACCCATATCTCGGGACCTGCTATACCAATTTCAAGAAATTCGGTAGGTAGCATTATTCTGAAATTTCTATGTCACAGAGCCATGCCTACTTTTCATACAACACAATTTTAAATTCCATCTGCTTCCTTCTCTTTCTAGTATACAAAGCACTAAGGAATGTATCGGGATAAAACATTGCACGATCACTCCTCTTGAAGTGCGCCAGCTTATAATCAAAAATGATCCAAATCGGATGTTCAAGCCCCCAGGTACCGGACCCCAGTTCCTATTCCGATTTTTTATCGTTTATATCGAAAATATCGGTCAACTATTATAGAAACTCAAAGAGAATCCTTATCTGATAATAATATGCCGTGTGCCAAAACTGGGTTGAATCGGATAAATAATTTCTTTAGTACCCATATACATAATAAAAGGCTTTCGAACTTCCGACTTTATACCGCAAATATCGGTCAATATGTATGTTATCTTAATGAAATTGAAAGAGCGTTTTTTTCCAATAATAATAATGTATCTTTGTGCATTAAATGCATATATGATATTTTAATTAATTTAAGGGACAAGCTTTCTTAAAAATTATGTGGTTTAGCGCTATGAATGGAATTGGTTTAGACCTTGGACCTAACCTCATATCCTTAATCAAATCAATTCCACAGTTCCGATCCTCTATTGACGTTTTGCGCATCAACTTAATATATCAAATTTAGCCTCGGTTAAGTTTATGCCAGTTATATCTTATTTGAAGATGATTTTAATATAATTTTTGCTGACGGGAAGTAAAATATGTATAATTATATAACTAAGTGAATCTATTGCCAATATTATAAGATATAGATAAAAATTTGATTGTAGACGATTTAGTTTCGTCGTACAATGACTATTGAATTCTTTCGCAACATTTTTTGAAATAAAATTTTGCTAACACCTGAAGGTATTTCTCCCGATTTAATCTCTGTACGTTGTAAGCTCTTCCTTACTTGTTAGAATTATATTAATATATCAAAAGATAATGTAAAATTTTTCAAAATATTTCGAAAAGTGAGAAGTATTTACTTTCTCCTATGTGTAAATAACTGTTTGTAATATCTAATGCATTCTGATTTTTATTTATTTTAAAGGCTTTATATACAATTTTTAAAACAATCTTAACTAACTAAATATATGTGTAGGTATGTATGTGAATATGTATGTTACTTATTGTTTGATTTCGAAGCACATAAGCAATTGCCTAATAATATTTTTAGAACCAATTGGGTACAATGTGTATATATGATATAAACATATGCATGTTCTTATCTTAAATCAATGCATAAATTTTTTATGTAATATAACGCATTATGTCTATACAAGTATGTAAGTTTTATATTACCTCAGCATTATCAATGATAATCATGTTCAAAGATATTTGAACATATTGCCTAGAGAAAATATTTTAGTGGACTGTACTTTTTTCTTATAATAATAGATATTACACGAGTAAGTGATGTCCCTTGGCACCAACGCACATGTTCATATTTGAACACTATAAGATAGGTAAAAGTTTATTATTTTACTCGCTCTATATCATTGCCTTACCTATAACCTATAACTGGTTACCATAGGTTATCAGTAATTAATGCATTTGTTACACAATAGGTTAGTTTTGTTCTAACCTTGGGAAAGAAGTTAACTTTTTTCCTTTTTTACTCTACGTCGCTTTGATTATATTACTCGCTCTCTTTAATTTGTCAACTATCTATTTTGCAAACTATCTGATACACTT